AAAATAAAGTGACTTACCGGTAATTATAGCTGCTGTATTCAAAGTCAATGAGCATCAGCTTTTGGTTTTCTGAATTCTCTCTGCCTTCCAGAAGCAAGATGTTACCTGAAAATTTTAAGATAATACAGACTATTCAATGAAGTCCCAGAAAAAGTTACAGAAAAACAATATGATACCTTAAGAGACATTGTTAGATCATCTCAGTTATCCCTTTTATCTGCCCAGAAGAATGACAGGAAAAGCCAAGCTGCCCTGGCTGCATACCAGCTCACTGAAAGTTGAGCCACATACTACACACCTTGTAAAGCTGAACACAAGCAAGTTTTCTTCTGTACAGGCAGAGGTGGACTTGTTCTCCCAAGGGCCCTGCTTCCCCAGTGTTTAGTTTGCAGCTAACTCAGGTGACAGCATCAGCCTCAGCAGCCCTTGCTGAATTATTTCTTCCCACAGCTTGAGATCTAAATAATGCAGCATCTCTCATACCTGCAGAGCACTGCCACTGATCACACAATACTAGGGACAGGAATTGCTTCTCAGCAGCCTGAAAGCTAGACTGATGACTTATTCTACTATGCAGCACACACAGTACCTACAGAAAAGCTCAGCTTTTTTAAAAGGGAGATTGCTTTAACTGTCTTTCAATTCACTCTGTCACTGTAATTCATCCAAAAGACATCAAGTCTGCCCCTGTCAAGTACCACCTAGTAAATAAACTTAAGAGTAATTTCAATTTCTGCAATAGTTTGTCCCTTCTCCACACCATACCCTTGCACCAACAGAACCAAGAACAAACAGTATGTTGCTGCACTCCCCTCCCCTCCCTCCCCCCATCCCTTGGAAACTTAGGTTCCAAAGCTCGTCCCAGCACTATCAGGCTCAGACTCCTCCAGTACTGCACCTTGCCATACCAGCAATGAGGCCTCCAACTCCATCACTACTGAGCTAGCTCTTCAGACCTCCTATCAGTGGCTTTTTCCCCTTGTGCTGCCTGTCCCTGTGTGCCTATTCTCCAGGGCAATCCTTTCCCAGGCCAATTCCTTAGCCTTAGCTAAGAAGGCTGCAACTCCCGAAAACAAGACAGCCCTGCTTACAGTCCTAATATAGCATCTTTCCAGCTCAGCCCAGCTTACAGGTGACAGGGAGCACAAGCACAGCATACACAACACCTTCAGCCCTGCCTTCTTTTCATCTCTTTGGAAAACTGGCTCAGAAAAATTGTTATTCCCTTCATGGCTCCCAGAGAAAGCACTAAAAAAGGTGGATAAGGTTTTCCTAATGTTTCCTACCAGTACAAGCTGAGAACTGCTGAGTGAAACTACCCTCGTCTCCATTTTCAGCATTCACTGTACTTTTTCAGTATCTTTCTTTTAAAGGGACTAAAGTATATCCTACCCTCATCAGGTATGTATACTGCAGACAGCTAAGAAGGGTGTTTTCGGTTATGACTGTACCTAATGCTCCCATCATCACCTGACCTATACTAACCCAGCATGTGTACATGCTTGGCCTAATCCGGCTGCGATACTAGACATGCTCTTAATTAGCCTGAAGCCACCACGCTTTGCTTTGCAACTGCTGCACGTTGGGAGTGCACAGGCTGCTGTTTCAGGTCAGCTGCCAGGGCGATACCTCGATAACATGACTACCTCTCCGAAAGCACGCAGGTGACCAGGAAAGGCTTAATGCTGCATCACTGAACAAGGTCATGAACGATTAGCAGCTTACCTTCTTGACAGTCATTGTGGCAGAAGACAACTGGTGATGAAGTAGCCTCTAGCATAGCTCTAGAAAACAGGAAATCGGTAAGTTGTTCCAAGTAAAGAATGGACTTTGTTGTAAGAATTTGAAGACATTAATTTCTAGCAAGACCCAATTTTCATAGAATGGTTTGGGTTGGAAGGGACCTTAAAGATCATCTAGTCCCAACCCCCCTGCCATGGGCAGGGACACCTTCCACTAGACCAGGTTGCTCCAAGCCTCATCCAGCCTGGCCTTGAACACTTCCAGGGATGGGGCATCCACAGCTTCTCTGGGCAACCTGTTCCACTGCTTCACCACCCTCTCCATGAAGAATTTATTCCTGATATCCAATCTGAGTCTCCCTATTTCCACTTAACCCTGTTACCCCTTGGCCTGTCACTACATGCCCTTGCAAACAGTCCCCTCCCAGCTTGCTTGTAGGCCTCCCCGGGTACTGGAAGGTGCTATAAGGTCTCCCTGGAGCCTCCTCATCTCCAGGCTGAATACCCCCAATTCTCCCAGCCTGATCCCACAGCAGAGGGGCTCCAGCCCTCAGAGCAGTTAGGATCCCAAGATCAGTACAATGAAGTTGAACTTCACCAATCAGCAAGTCAGACCAGCGACTGAGCATACCAATTTGTAGTCATGACACTCAGGTTGGTTACAGAAACAAAACCAAGCCCCAGCTTGTAAAGTAAAATAAATACAGGGTGTTATACTCTACAGTGTGTTTGAGCAAGTATACAAATTCACACTGAAACTGTGCAGGTTGCCAGACAGTGGTAGACAAAATAAGCCTACCTTAGATTTTTCATTTCCTGGGGGAGATTGTAACTGAGGAGTCTGTTCAGTTTTCTAGTTCTGGATTCTCCAGTAAATTTAATCCTTAGCACTTGATTTAGATATCTGTTAAAAACAGAGACAATAGGACAACATTTGTACTAAACAAAAAAAAAATCAAGAAAGTTAAGAAAAAAGGAGTTACTGAATAAAATGTTACTATCTTCAAGGTTATTCAAGTTCTTCAAGTAACTATGAAACAGGTTCTGGGTACAGCGAGAGCTTATTCAGGAAAAGTGATCTGCTTATCAAAATTACAGCAGGTCACTTTTTTCCCATACTTTGAAGTATTGCATGACTTACTTTTCCATCGTTCCAAAAAGCCACTTAGGTTCTTTATTAAATGGCATTTTCATGCCATGAAATCTAGCCATCTTCTCCGCTATTTCAGCAGATATGTCAGGTAAGCTTAGTTCTTCAGTACTTAGTTTCCTGCTCTGTAATAAAACATGGTATTCTTAAAATACAGTTAACTGATTAATTACAAACACTAAGTAGCATTAGTCTCTACATAGTGGTTTAGTATAAAATACTAGCATAGTACTCCAGCAACATACTTTTTTCATCCCAAATGAACTTACAAAATTGCTGTCTTTGGAAGTGCCAAGTTGGCCAGCCCAGCTTGCTTACAGTTTCATAAATCCTCCTCCAGGTCAAGTCCTGGGGAATATCACATCTCACACTAGGAATATCTTCAAAGCAGACTGGGTATAAATATTTAAGAGGATCAAAAGCATCTGCTCGTGTGGCTGTTAAAGGGAAGTGTTACTCCACAGCTTCCAATGCTATGTTTGGTATCTAACAGGCTTTTTATCTTCATTTATTAGTCCCTGCTACAGCTGAAGAGTTAAGATATCTCTCCCTGGCAAGAGCTATAATTGGGCTCTCCAACACCCACTGTAACTATATCAAATTACAGCTAGCAGTTACTACAGGCTGCCAAGTATTCCATTCCCACATCCCTGCTTTTCTGGGCAGTCCAGAGACCTTCTTGTCATGATCAATTAAAACAGCTACCAGCAGCCCACTAACTAATCACAAACAGGACTTACGGGAATGAATTCCTCCAGTCGCCCTTGTGGAAAGATTCCATACAGCTTTGGGCCAAGAGCTCGCTCTGCAAGAATGGCAAACATAACACTTTCCAGAACCATGGCTTCTGCCCCCTACAAAAAAAAAATGAAAGCATTTTAATTATTTAATCCTTTTTTTTTTGGTGCTTGCACAGAAATGAACTTAAGTGTGCACAGTAGCTAAACTGCTACAAAGTGAGAAGTTTCAGGGTTAGCTTTAAAAAGTAGACTCAACATTTCACTAACCAAAGTTTCTTGACTAATAACTCTGAGTTCACATGGGAACAATACAAATACTTTGTTTACAAGTTTAAAGCTAGGGAGGAAAATCTGTATTACTTAACAGATACTGTTGATGGGCCAGGTCGAAGGAAAACTGCAAAAACCAAAGCACCCTCTTGTCCCTAACATCTGGGAACTGTGCAAATTCATTTCCTGAATGAGTTTAGCCTACTGAAGCACAGCACAGGAACTATAAATATTATCCTTGGCTATTTTAACACCCTTTGGAACACTGCCTCAAAGACATTTTAATTATGCAAGTGAATGACTGAACTAACAGGTTTTTCATTTAGAAGAATGACAGGATTTATTTGTTAAGCCCACTTTAGGTCTTCCCTCTTTAAGGG